ATTCAGTGTTGGGAAAAAGCAAGACAAAAAGACAAAAACTTCATACGGAAAAGAAAAGAAGTACGAGCTACCAGTGGCACACTCCTATCACCCACAGTTCAGATTTTGCTACCATGAAGCTTACTGAGCTCGTCACAGCGATACTGATCACACAGGTAGCAGTAGAAGCCGCCAGGGTGGTTCGGGTATCGAGAGATGCCTCAAGAGACAAGAGACATGAGTTCAGTCTGCAAAGTCTAGCCCAGGAGATCCATCTCGGGACTGGCGCTGGATTCCGACCTGCAAATGGCGAGGTGGTTCAGACAGCCAGGGGCGTGAGTCGCCGCCGCCTGGTGGAGACGTATGGTCACCTCGACGTGATTGGCGCGGTGGCGGAAGCGGAAGCGGACGATGAGGGTCAGCTGACCGGCCACCTGTACGGGAGTGTTGCCACTGGCCTGCAGGACGACATTCCCGACCCCGAAGAGTGCCAGCGAACAGCCGCGGAAATGCTGGAGATCGCTATAAAAGCCGAGAACTATGATGTCGACGATCCAAATATAGACAACAAAGATAGCCGCCGACTTGTTTGGGTTGACCCAGACACCCACGCCGCGTCGTTAGCCTATCGTGTAGAGTTCCTCTATGCTAGTGAACAAGTAGTTAGCCGGCCTACATACTTCATAAATGCGTGCAATAAAACAGTGATTACAAACTTCGACCAGATCCACAACGCCAGCCTTCCGCGCCGTGAGTCGAGGCAGGCGGGAGAGGAACACGCGTGTGCCACGACGTCTACTCCAACACCTACGACTGTGTCAACCGCATGCAACCCTAGTGTTGCTGGTGTCGGGGGAAACCCCAAGACAGGGCGCATCGAGTACAACACCGAGGGTCGCTGCCTGGACGTAAAGAAAAGAGGAGTCAAGTGCTTTATGACTAATAAGTACGCTAGAGTCATCGACAATCAGAAATCCGCCAGTAGGACAAAACAAACGCCTGTCAGTTTCAATTGCGACGTGGGGTTCTCGGATCCGGTGGACGAAACCTTCGGTGTGGCAGCAGACGCGCTCTTCTACGGGACCATCACTGGTCGCCTGTACGAGGAAAAGTACAACTACAGGGCGCTCCCGTATGAGCCTCGCCTCGTGGTTCACTACAAAAGCTGCTTCGACAACGCCTTCTGGGACGGCACAGACATGTACTTCGGAGACGGCTGCACGGTCTTCTACCCTCTTGTCAGCCAAGATGTAGTCACCCACGAACTAGGCCACGGTATTACTACCAGAAACAGTAACCTAAATTACCGAGGGAAACCGGGAGGCATTAACGAGGCTTTTTCTGACATCTCAGGAGAAGTAGCCGAAGTCTTTGGCCGAGGTAAAAACGACTGGAAGGTTGGTTATGAACTGCTTAGAGGAGACAGGTCACTGCGATACTTCATCAACCCCCCAGATGACCACCGGTCAATCAAGCACGTCCAACAGTACCGCGACTACCTGGACGTGCACTACAGCAGCGGTATCTTCAACCACGCCTTCTACCAGCTGGTGGCCGTCCAAAACATGTATATCTACGACGCCTACAGCTGCTTCCTGGACGCCAACCGCTTCGTCTGGAGTGAGACAACCGACTTCCAGCAGGGCGCGTGCGGCGTCATGCAGACGTGCTACGACAACGGGTTCTCTCATACAAAGGTGGCAGCAGCTTTCAGCGTCGTGGGCATTGACCTTGACTCCTGTAACTACACCGCCCTGTCCACGGCCCTCGTCACCGGGGAGAAAAGACACCGAGTCCTGGTGTCGGCCACCCGTAACCCTATACTGGCCGTAGAGAACACCAGCGGGGAGTTCACCGTGCAAGCTATGGCGGAGGATCGTTCTCCCGTGCGTATGGAAATGGCCACAGACCCTTCGGCTCTAGAGGTGTTCTCAACAGGATCGGACTTTGCGGATGTCAACTCCGACTCGGACGTTGTCTACGTCAAGCTTACGTCTGATAGTGACACTGACGTCAAGGTCAGCATAATGGTCATTTAAAAGGCAAAGTTTGTTTGTTTTGTGTTGTTTAGTATAGGGTTTTACGGCGCTCGCAACTGCATAAGGTCATATGAGCGCGCGGGACACACCTAATACTTTTTCGTTGGTAGGAAATTTTGAATTTTGCCCAGGTGGCGGCCGAAGCCTACTCTTATCGATTTTAGACCACCAAGGGATCTTTAACGTGCGCAACTTGCACACGGACCCTCCGAGATAGGCTAAGTTTACACTGACATTCGCTAAGAACGATCATCAAAAGACACTCGAGTATTTGTTGAATGGAAGCAGGCGTATTATGCACACATTGCAAACAACCCAATTCAACATGTTATATATAAGGTTGGTTGTCATGCCGGGGTGATGTAATGGTTGTGAACTTTTAAAATACAACAAACTGGCTATTACTTCTAAAACAGGAACAAGTCGAAAACTGCTAATTCTTATATCTGCAACATTTACTATCCTTTTTATTGGAACAAAGAAATATTTAAAGATGGTGTCCGTAAAAGGCAAGCGTGGTAGGCAAGATTCGCCAGCGTATACTGTACTGTTTTTGGTGTTTTCAAAACGTTTGGAATATAACTATATGTACACAATTTCGCGTACTTAGAAATAAAGTTAAAGTTCATTTGCAAGTCGTGGTGAAGATTTAAAGTGTCTACAGTATTTTTACTATATTATGTATTTCCAAATTGCAGCAGATTTAACCTCACAACAAGAACTGTGAGGGACTCCCACAGTAACATTGTGAGTATCACGAGCGTGTGTGTGAGTGAAGGAATGTGAGTGTGTGCGTGTGTGCGTGTGTGTGTGTGTGTGTGTGTGTGTGTGTGTGTGTGTGTGTGTGTGTGTGTGTGCTTTTATCTCGACGAGTGGACCTTTGGTTCCTTTCCTGTCAAACATCTATCGTCCTTATCTCCCCTTTTTGTTTTAGTGTGTTTGTTACTCTCTTGTAACACCTCTAATCTTCTGGCGCTCATATAACCTTGTGCCGTAAAACCTCTATCAAAACTAAAACTGATCTCTTCTTGTTTGTCTTTGTTATTCTTTAGTAACTCCGCACCTAGATCAAAGTGGGAACAGTTCACGGAGACCTATATATTATCTACTAACTAACCATAACTTTCCCTCGTCCTACTATATCTATCTACTAACTAACCATAACTTTCCCTCGGCTTACTACATGTACTTGCTTAACTTACTGTCTGCTGTAAGATGTGTATACACATGTGGGTGGTTGGCGGGTGCTCTGGTGTGGTTTGCTCCTTCTTTCCTGTCAAACATCTATCGTCCTTATCTCCCCTCCTTCTTTTTTTGGTGTTTGTTACTCTCTTGTAACACCTCTAATCTTCTGGCGCTCATTATGACCTTGTGCCGTAAAACCTCTATCAAAACTAAAACTGATCTCTTCTTTTTTGTCTTTGTTACTCTTTAGTAACTCCTCTAATCTACGGCACTTTTATGACCTTATTCTGTTGAGAGAGCCGTAAAACGTTTACTAAAACTAT